AATTTAGAAATTGAATTTTTTAAACCTCATCTAAGTTAGATAAAGTTTAGAAAGACTACTTTATAAACTGGTTTCTAGTTATGACCAATTTAAAAAGTAACCTTCTAAACCAGATATACGACTCATATAGAGCCACTCATGTCTAAACCGATTGGAGAACTAGTTTAGAAAGTTGTTTAAACCGATTTAAAAAGTTATTTTTATATTAATGAATATTCTCTTTGATTTTTTTTTTGTATGAAGTCTTATTAATTACTTTTGTGCGATCAAATTACTCAAAATTAATTAAATGTAAAAAATATTTATAGTATTACAAATTCAAATCAAAGTCATTATTTAAATTAAAAGTAAAACGGACAATAATGTGAATGGTATTGTATTAAAAATTATTTAGGTCACTTAACAAATTCAAACATGAATGTAATTAGTTAATTAGCACCACAAGATCACTATTGCAAAGAGGTAATTTAATGACACAATTTTCAAGCGAATTACGGACACAAAGGTAAATAGAAGATGAGAAGTGGCTACTTACTTACTATGGAGTCCGTTGCTACACCCCATAATGCGATCCTCATTTACGGGAATTATGGTTCCTGTTGCACAGTTGCAACCCTAGATGCATTTAGTTACTAGAAAAAATATAATGGAATGAATTTAAAAAATGAAGGTAAAAATGAGATGATCAAAAGAGATGATGAACAACATTCATAAGGGAAAGGGGGTAATTTATTTTATGAAGTTGAAAATCATGATTCATGAGATTTTTAAAAGGTGTGATAATTCCTACATTTATAACATATATTGATAAATTTTATCATATTTATCATGAAAGAAGATTGATTTAGTTTATTTTTCTATTAATTTTTTTAATTCATTCCATTTCATTTATTTTCAGGAACCGAATGAGACTTTAGTTTCAAACAAATTACGCGTCTATCACTCCAATGCAACAAACGCCATAATAATGTTACCAAAAAAAAAAAAAAAACGAACAAGCAAAGGCCATAATAATGCAACTCTTTTCCCCCCAAAAAAAATGCAACCCTCCTTCACTCCCACACAATTATTCCCTAAAAAAATTATTTATTTCCAAACGCCCTTCATCCCTGTCCTTTTGGTATCTCCCTCCTTTGTAAAATAGGGTTCTTATCACTACTAGTAAATTTGGTTCTCATGATTAAGCTTGAAAACTAGTAATTGGTTCTCATGATTAAGCTTTGAAATTTGACTCTGGTTTAAATTTTCAATTCGATTACTGGTTGGGAAGAGGAAAAGGTTTCTCATTAAAATAAGAAAATAATTTTTAAAAAATAGATAAATTAATATTTTTAAAAAATAAATTAGAAAAATTAAAATTTTAAATAAAAAATATATATAAATAAAAATTAATTTTATTATTAAAAATATATTTATAATAACTAACACAATGTTAAAATAATTTCATATTATTTCAATTTTATATTATTAAAAAAATAAATAAATATTTAGACAAAAAGATAAAAAAATTTTATTAATTTTGAAAACAACATATTAATTAAATAAATCAGTTCACCAAAGCTTAGAGCTTATTCAATTTTTTCTTCTAATCAAATTGGTTTGGTTTCAATTTGAGTGGTTCAGTTCAGGTTTGGTTCAAGTTTGATTTTTTTAAAAAAAAATAAATAAACAACATATATACAGACACGCACGTGCATATTTACTTCAAATTTTTTACTACTAATTAATATTTTCAATGAAAAAAAAGTCTCTTAAAAATATTTTTTACAACTAAGTAGTACATTTAACTATCTTTAAAACACCTGATTATAAAGTTTAGAAATTATCATAAATAATTATAGACAACTTCTAACTAACTGCAAATTATAATTAGTCTGCTTTCAAAATTATTATAAAATAAAAACTGCATCGTCGGATTCCTTCGAGTTTATCAACTCACATTGTAATGCCTCCAATCCAGGCCTCCAACAAGTAATTCCAAATAACACGTGCATTATTTTCTATTTTCCCAGATAATTCTTCACTGAAAATCAATAATATCTCGGCACGCAATATATAAAACAAAAGGCCATTGTTAGAAATAACCAAAAGCCATTAAAAGGGGAATCCGAATGTCACGAGACGGACAATGTCGGTCCACTGAATGGTCTTTTTTTCATTTTGGCCAGCTAATATGGCCTTACAATGTACTTACTGCAAAACTCCAAACAAAGGAAATTAAAAGAAACAACCCAAAATTTCACCATCGATCCACCATTTTAATTTGGTCCCCTGCCTAGCTGCTGCTAGCATGGTCCCAGAATAAGTGGTTACAAAGCTTCACCTTTAACACATGTCACAATTAAAAGCAATCTACCTTGTCAATCATAGTTTCTTTGGTCGCAGCATGTATATAGTTAAGTTACTGCGAACTAAAATTTCAAGATAATGCTCTCTTTACCTCTTGGATATACATTTATTAGATTTCTTATATTAAGTCTACTTAAAGATGATATATTTCATCAAAATAACTTAAGTGATTTGGTTAGATACTTCCTAAACTTACATATTTATTATCTATCTTCTAATATTTAGATGTGAGACTTTTTTTTATCTTCTAATACTCTCTCTACTATTTTTTTTTCTTGTTTCTTTGTTTCTTTTCACTTTCTTCTTCTTACTTGGGCTTGTACTTGTTTTAGTCTCAAAAACCTCATGTCTATTCAACTTCTTCTTCTTCTTCTTCTTGTTTTTTTTAATCTCATTTTTTCCCCTTCATCCTCCCATTTTTCTCTCTCTCTTTTTTTTGGTTTTTTTTTATCCCCGATTGAATGGCTCATGATACCATATTAGATTTCTGATATTAAGTATACTTAAGAATAGTATATTCCACCAAAATAACTTAAGCAATTTAGTTATACACCTCCTAAGCTTACATATTTATGATTTACCTTTTAATATTTAGATGTGAGACATCTTTTATCGTCTAATAACATTGATGTTAATGTGACCCGAGTACAAACCAAAAGCATTTATCTTTGCTAATTTATATATAAAATTATGCATATCAATAAAGCTCATGAAATATATTTTATGACTTTTTTTAAAATATAAATATGAATTTTTACAATACTCTTCATTTAATAACCTTAAATAGAAAGAAAATATATTAAAGAGGGAATGATAATACTGAAAAAGAATTTTGGCCAAACAAAAATATTGATAAAGTATATTGAATGAAAATTTATTTTTATCAAATTATCTTATATTTTGACATATTAAATCACACTCAAAATTGTCATATAAATTGGGAGGAGGGAGTACTATGTTGCAGGGGTTAGTTCTAATTATTATAATGTAAGCAGAAAAACTCTAAAATAAAAAAAATGTGACATGCTGATTATACACCCACGCTTGAGCAGCACACAATTCATTAATTTTACGGCACGATGTAAAAATTAATATTCCGTTGCCCCCCAATTTTCTTCATGGGTCGTCATAACACGGTTAATAATATCATCTAAAATTCATGAAACATTAGCCAACTTTAAAGGATTTTAATCTTTTTTTCTTCTTTTTTTTTTCATTGGATTTTAATCTGTTTTCCCAATGTGCAGGTGGCCATCCTTCTACATACATTCATGCATGCATGATAAATATATGCTTATTATTCATTTTATCTCGCTATAGATAAAAATCAATACTCCATGATTTCACATTTTCTTCTTTGTTTATAATCTCATGAGCTAGGCCTTACAAGTTCCGACATGGTATTATGCAAAAATAGTTTCAAGCATTATTAATGTAAGTGTTCCTTGTATAAACAAGTATTCCCTCTGGTCTCATTTATAAAACATATTCTAAAAAATTTATTTAATCTCATTTATAAGTCACAATGCTGCTTTTTAGGTAATATTTAAAAAATATTTTTAAAATTGCCCTTCATGAGAAAAAAAAAGTAACATGACATCAATTTTTGGATGTGTTATATACAGCATATTTGAAATTTTACACACTTTTATTCCTTTTACTTTTATTATATTAATATTAATGATGTTGATAAAAATGATTTATAAAGAGAACCAGAGAAGTGTATATATTCATAACGAGGACGTTATATTAGGGATCTCATTTACCTTGCTTAATCTAAGAGGCAATGTTCATATAGCTGTTAACACTTACAATAGATTCCAGTTTTGTTTGGCAGCAAAAAAAAAAAAAAATCGTCAGCGTGATGGTGCCATTTTCGTATTCTTGTAATATAGCTAGAGATAAGTAAGAATCAATTGGGAGAAAATGAACTTCTAATTCAATATACTCCCTCCGAACCACAATATAGGATATTTTTTAAAAACCTTTTTTAGTCTAAAATATAAGGTATTAGATAATCTTTTTAAAGATAAATTGTCTCACTAGCCGAAAAATATCTCATGTCCAAAAAACATGAAACAAATTTTTCAAAATTTGGGAATATGGTTGATTCATATTGATATACAAAAAATTTATCATTTATATACAATGAATTTATCATTAAAAATTTAAAAATTTATAAAAAATTTATCATTAATATACAATGACATATCATTGGTAAATAAAATAAACCAGTCATAATAACTTGTGCTATATTTACAAAAGCTCCTTTTTGTAATTGTTTTTTCAATTATATCCCTACTTCATTTATTTTTTTTTTTTCTAAAATGATACATTAGAACTTTAATTATCATTATCAAAGCACTTATATAGGGTATTTAATGAGAGTAAAATTGAAAATATGTAATTTTTGTTTAAGAAATTAAGGTTTTAACTAACATTTTTTAGAACCATCAATTAGTTACTAATACCCTATATTTTGGTTCACAGGGAGTAATGTAACACTCATCATAATGTCTTTAATAAAGAAAAGGTTAAAAAAGAAAGTAAATTGACGATAATGACCCTTGCCCTAGCCCCTGCCCATTATAAATTGGTTGCTTCTTTTGCTCCTCCTACAACACGAAAGCATTACCTTGGCTTCTCTCAATATGGCTTTCAAAACACAAGCTCCCATCATCCTCCTTCTGCCCTTATTACTGTTGTCTCTGTGCTTCAGCTCTTCCCATGGCTCTACTTATCACTATGTCACCTACTGGGGCCAGAACTTTACCGATCTAGGAGACCTAGAAGGAGAGTTGGTTGAAGCATGCGCCTCGCTAAGGTACGACATAATAAACATAGGATTCCTGGATACCTTCGGCAATCATGATGCTGCAGAATTAAACCTGACAGGCCATTGCGAACCGTACTCCGAGCATAACCCTTGCGACAAATATGCCTCCCAAATTGCCCAATGCCAATCCCTAGGCGTCAAAATCTTCCTCTCTGTCGGAGGACCCTATGGGAACTATACACTTTCTTCAGCTACAGATGCCGAAGAACTTGCAAACTACCTCTGGACCAACTTCCTGAGCGGCGAACCTGATTCAGACGGTCCACTCGGAGATGTGGTCTTAGACGGCGTTGATTTTGCCATTGAAAGTGGTGGTGGGGAGGCGTATTATCAAACTGTTGTGCAATCCCTTGACACACACCGCAGTAGTGAAGGTGCCAGGTATTTTTACCTGTCAGCAGCACCGTACTGCGAATTCCCAGATCACTACTTAAACCAAGCCATCCACACTTGGATGTTCGACTACATCTGGATAAGGTTCTATAACAAGGCTTCCTGCGAATATTCTGATGGAGATGCTCATAATCTTTTAGAAGCATGGGACCACTGGATCCATGAAATCGAGGACAAAAGTCATTCCTTCTTTGTCGGCCTCCCCGCATGCAGTGATGTAGAAGGATATATCCCAGTTGCTAATCTCAAAAGGAAGGTCCTTCCAAAACTTAAATCTGCTGGTTCCCTGTTTGGGGGGTTCATGTTGTGGAATGATCTTGTTTGCAAGTATAGCGACAAACTCGAGCCTCATGATCACCTTAAGGCGCCAATGGAGAACCTAAAACAATCTGCCTAGCATCCACTATATCGTCTCTTCACGGATATCCCTATTACTTAATTAATTAGTTAATTAATTAACTAATTAATTAAGTATTATCTAAATCTTGTATCGAATAAATTGGAGGCTACTTCCAACACTGATGAGCTATCATCATCATCAATATTAAATAAATCTCTCCTTAATTACGTACGCATGGCCGTTCCTGAATAAATGATTTCAACTTTAATTCATTGATCAATCTTTACTTTTAGTGATATATCACTATATTGAACTACAAAATCCAAAGGCGCCCATGATAACTCAGATAATAAATTGTTAGGTGGCCCAAACGTGAGTGGATTTGAATCGACTTGTGACGTACCACTTGTTGGGAAGTACATAAAAGATAAGCAGAATTGAAAAAGAGAATTATCAATTTCAAATTTTTTTATAATATATCTGAAGTTACAAAATTTAACATTGAAAAGTTTGATGAGGTGCATAATTAATTTTGCAATTTAGCAAGTTTAGATAAAAGCCGGTCTTAATTTAAAAAAAAAAGTTAAAGAAAGACTTACCTAAAAAAGTAAACAAGTCCGTGACTTCATTGAATGAGAAAAGATGCTCACGTATATCTACATGTGATTGATTGATTGATCCAAAAAGCCTTAAAAAGGAATATCATCAGCAATATATAAATAGATTGAAATATGATGGATCCAAGCTAAGAAGGTAATTGATACCATGTTGTCTAACGAAATAATTCAAGATTAACTCAAGATTTTAATTATAGATTGAACAGGAAGAGGAAGAAAATAGATTAATTCAAGATTTTAAAAGATTTATAGATTGATTTAAAAATTTAGAAATATTTTGTTTTAATTATTATACTCTTTGAATTATTATCTTTCAAAATATTGTCATTTAATTTTATGAATTCTATAATATTCTTGCATTTAATTTTTAGAGTTAGATTAAGACCTGCACCTTGATGCGTATTTGTTTTGTACATATTTTGAATAAATATGAATTATATTGAATATTGAATTGTCTCTCTTCTAAATTTCTTTTTTTCCCCTTCTCTCTCTAACCCTCTCTATCTGCTCTTTTTCTTTATCTTCTCTCTTCCTTCTTTCCCCTCCCCATTTTGCATCAACAACCCAAGTAACATGATCAACCCTCTCGCTTTTAACATTAATAACTTACGGTTACAATATCACATTGAGCTTTTCACTCCGAAAACTAAGCCCAAACTTCTTATCCAAGCAGATCCTCACCAAATTTCTAACATCACTATTTCAGAAAATAACCTAGTATACTAGTGCTACAGTGATGAAAAATATTGCTAATGAATTATTCACACGCTCCTAATTAATTAACCTAGTAATAATTAGCATCCTTGTATTATATTCCCCTAATAACTTGAAATGCCTTTTAATGCCTCAAACAAGTAAATCCGTATAAGGCGTTAGACATGCATATTATCTATTTGCCGTATTAATCATAAGCCCACGGGCCACAGTGGCGAAAAGATATGTAAATGAAGAGACAAACGATATTACATCATCGATGATTCTGGTCCCCTGGCTAGTTGATGTCATGCATAGTCCTAGAATCAACGGCGAAAGAGCTTCCTTAACATGTGCCACATATAAATCTTCTATCTCTTGATTCTTATTTTCCTATAGGGAATAGAATTAATCGATCTACCTCATGGTGAATTCATCAGTTCTTTTGTCTCCAAGCTATGTTTCTAACTTTCTGGGGATAGATCTTCAATATAATGCTCCTTTTATCCCAAATTATAAAACTATTTTGAAGATATTTTGTGTCCCAAAATATAAAATAATTTGATAAAAATAATAAAGTTGTATTAATAATAATTTTTTAATATTATCCGTTAAATAAAGAGAGAATATGAAATGATTTTATTTTGAAAGTTCTATTAAATGAGGGGTGTTTTTTGAAGTTGATATTTCTTTTATTTAAAAAAGTAAGTTTGTAAAATGCCATTATTAAATTATATTGGTGTACATAATCTTATCTCCAATTATATTATAATTTGAAATGAATGGAGTATTCTCTTTGTTTCTTTTTACAAATGTCTTGCTAATTACTTTGTGATATCAAATTAGTTGAAATTAATTAAATGTAAAAAAACCCTATAATTTTACCCGTACTAAACTAGATAGAGCTAATTACAAGGCTATTAATATTAATAAATATAACAACCCTAAAATGTAAATTCTCAACCCAAGAAAGCTTGAAACAAGTTACAGACTCTAATTCCCCAAAATAAAAATAATAAAACCATTGTTATATTTATAAACATGAAGAGCCTATACCTTGATTGAGAACAACATGCAGCGAATCACTGTTGGAATATTATTTATGAATTAACATTAATTAATAAGCCCAATAAATTGGTCTTTATGATCTTGTGTGGACCGTGATAGGTGGACCACACAAGTGAGCTCAATGGGCAGATGCTAGTCTTTTGGGTTGGGCCTAATGAGGTAATTCTATCCTGGGGTCAAAACGTAATTAACAGAATCCTCTTTTTTTTAATATAATTAGGCCCAAATCGACGTCTGAGCTCGTGAGTCATAAAAGGCCGATCCCTAGGATCCAGGATCCGCTTCTCTGACCCGGCTCCCTCTTCTTCAGGCACCGCAAACCACAACAGTGTGGAGACCAGCGTCGGCAACCAGAAAATTGCGATCTTCACGCCGGCGTTGGAGGACCATGGATCATCGTTTTGAAGCCCCCTTTTGCGTCTTCTAAATGCCACGAACTGAAAAAAAATTGGGTCCATCTTTACCGACGACCTGGAGCAGTGGTGAAGATGGACCATGCCGACGGTGCATGGGCATCTCCCTTCCTCCTAACATCTACGATGGTGGCCGGTGGTGAAGGACCTTCAACCGCCACTGGCCGTGACGCACAGAACCTGAAGAATCCATGAGTGCTGGATAAAACCTCGATTACCTCGAGTATAGGCAGGTGCACAACCCAGAGGTTCTCAGAGAGGGGACTGCGTGAGGCTGGTTTCACAGAATAGCAAACACCTCTGGCTCTCTTCAGTGGAAGGATTACAAGTCACTTCTCTCCCAACCCACAATGCCTGGTTGGCCTAGCTCCTTGGACCATTATTTTGAAGCCCCCTTTCAAGTTACAAGCTAAGGCTGCCGAGCTGGGCAACATCAGCTTGTAACCCGAGAGGGGGCTTCGTCTTATATAGATCAGATTGGTAACCTCCTTATTAAATAATAAATAATTATAACAGTTAAGAGATAGAAAATAACTGACAGCTATTGGGTTGTGGGTTGGGCCTCTGCCCATTGAGCTCACTTGTGTGGTCCACCTATCACGGTCTACACAAGATCATAAAGACTAATCTATTGGGCTTATTAATTAATGCTAATTCATAAATAATATTCTAACAATCTCCTACTTGGATTGCATTAATTAAGCAAATTGCATAAACAAGCCACAAACAAAATTTAGAAATTGAAACTCCACAAAATCACTGAATCCTATAGGGAAACAAGTGATATGATATCTCATAATCTAAATAAAACATGAAATTTTATTTCAAAACACAGCTCAGTAAGATAACAACATAAATCACTGATTCCTATAGGGAAACAAGTGACATGCATAGCGTACCATAACAGAATCATTGAATCTTATGGGGATACAAATGATATAGACGCATCTAATTGAACTGAACATAACTCACAAAAGAACAAAAACAAAGCCTAAAGAGAAATTGCAATATAAAAGGTTCTCAAACTCCCACTAAACTAGGACATCAAAGGAATTCACAATACCCATACAAGTTACATGATTTTGAAAAACTTCTACGAGTAAGCCCTTAGTCAGCGGATCTGCAAGCATCTGTGTGCCAAGAATGTGTACCACACGGGTTTGAGACTCAGCAATTTTCTCTTTCACAAACATAAGTTTGATATCAAAATGCTTTGTACGACTGGAATTTCTGTGATTGTTAGCATAGTATATTGCAGATTTGTTATCACAATAAATGGTTAAAGGACGTGATATTAACTCAACTAGGTGCATGCTAGATATCAACTTCCTCAGCCATATAGCGTAACGTGTAGTCTCAAAGCAAGCAATATACTTAGCTTCCATAGATGAAACTGCCGTAAGTGTCTATTTCACACTCTTCCAAGAGACAGCTCCTCCAGACAACATGAAAATATAGCCAGTTGTGGATTTACGATCATCCAGACAAAAGGCAAAATCTGAATCTGAAAAAGCCAACAATCTCAAGATCTTTTGATCCCTTAAAGTCATAATCAGAATACCCAACAACCTCAAGAGAATTTGACCTTCTGTAGGTCAACATATGATTCTTTGTACCTTGAAGATACCTCATAATTTTCTTAGCAGCCTTCCAATGATTCGAACCTGGATCATTTAAGTATCGACCTAGCACTCTAATAGCAAAGGCTATATCTGGTTGAGTACATACTTGAACATACATAAGGCTGCCGACAGCGGAAGCGTATGGTATCTTTCTCATTTCAGCCATCTTCTTATCATCCTTGGGACACTGTAACTCTAACAACAGCTCACCTTTCTGTACAGGAGCAGGTGAAGGAGAACAAGAATCCATTCTGAATCTCTTAAGTACTCGCTCAATATAAGTGACCTGTGATAAACCAAGAATACCATGAGATCTATCACGATGAATCTGTATCCCAAGAACAAAAGAGGCTTCACCCATATCCTTCATGTCAAAATGGCAAGACAATAAGCGCTTTATCTCATTGAGGAAATTTATTGAATTGCTGGCTAACAAGATATCATCAACATGGCCCACAGGTTCCAGGATTGCAACCTGGCTTTGATACCACTCTGTCACAGGCTGAGAGTCTGGCGCAGCACACGGCACCTCTGCGGCGTCCGAAGGACCCCATAATTCTCAAGACAAGCCTTACCACATACGAATCACACTGGTTTCACCTTGTCATGGGCTCATCAGGGAGGCGGCACTAGCCCCCTTTCTTATATGACCCTCCAGATTTGCTGCTAGAGCCATGAGAAACATAATTTATTGAGTGAGAGGAATTCTTCTTCAATCACTTTCCTTGCCTTGCCCTCAGAACCAATCTTGTACAACTGTATATGATGAAAAGAAAATAGGTAAATTACAGTCTCAAATGATTTTAGTATTTGAAGATATAAAGACATCTATCTATTATCAAAACAAAAGCAAGAAGGAGAGATTACTACAACAGAAAGAAAATATGTCTAGGTGTTAGAAATAACTTTTGGCACTTGTTATGAGTTTTGGACACCTTTTTTGTGTGAAAATTGTAAATAGTGATAAAAATATATTTGGGTGTCCAACTTCTTAGTGTGACTTTTTTTTTAAAAGTGAAACTCATACCATTAATTAGCTTATGAAACAAGCTTTCTGTAGGCATTAAGATCATGTCATTCGAACATCGAATGGAAAATCGGGAGCATCATTAGAAGTTCCATGATTCTATTATCAAACTGTTGTCATTTTCATGCAACACGCCTTGGCACATGGGCGCCTGAGCCACAACGCGTGGCATAAAGAACAACACACCGTGGTGCAGCGTGTACAAGTCACGGTGCATTGTCCTCTTTTGCTACAAATGAGTTGTTCTTCACTTGTTTTTATTCTTTTTCACTCCTCTGAAATATCCCATGCTTTTATAACTTATTTCTACTCTGATATAAGAGTTGTGATTGATGTAAACTCAATTTAATTATGAAAACTTGGGATCTCTTGATTTAAAAATTAAAACTTGGTAATCTACTTAAAGGGTTAATCCTTTGATTATCATAAGTTTGTTTAATTAATTGTGTTTAGTCGTGAGAGATTTTACACCACAGACCTAAACTATTATATTATTAGCATTCTGGACCCTGAACTTTAAAACTTTGAACAAATTATTGCCCTCACTGTTTATGTATAAAATGTTGACTATTATATAAACTAAATTAGTCTCAGTGTGTTTTGCCGCAGTAAATGCATTGTTGACCATGGCGAGCGACCTATAATTTTATAAAATGATATTTTTTACCCTTTTTGTGCAATGTTTTTCAAATGATTGGTATCTTATGCTTTTGTATGCTCACTACTAGAAAAAACCATATTAGTGACGGCCAAATCCGTCACTAATAGCCAAAATCCATCACTAATACAGTGATTAGTGACGAACATATCGGTTACTAAGGTGGTCGCTAATATAGCGTCACTAATTTTTAAGTGACGGATAGTCATCCATCACTAATTAGTGACAGATTAATCGGTCACTAAATTAATCATATCCGTCACTAATATTTCTTAATAGTGACGGGCATATCCATCACTAAAATAAAATGTCCGTCACAAATATGTATTTATAGTGACCAAACTGGATGTCACTAAAGTTGATATATCCATCACTAATCAGTAACCAACATAGTCCGTCACTGATTAGTGACACATATAGTTCGTCACTAATTAGTGATTACAATGTTCGTCACTAATCAGTGAAGACACAGGTTGTCACTAATTTGTCACTGATTCAGTATTTTCCTATATATATACGTGCACATTATTTTCTCATTCATTATTAACAAAATTACCTATTAAAATAAAAATATTAGCAACAATCAAATATAAAAAAAGCTTTTGATATTAGATTGATATTAATATTGAAAGTCTCTCAAAACAGTCACAAGTTAAAGTAGAGACTAATCAAAAAAAGTGTCTTACAAGTACAAAATAAAGCATTTAGTTGAATAAAAACAAAGATCAATTATCTTTGTTTGCAGCTGAGGTGGATCCTATAGATGGATCAACATTTTGTGGAGTCTCCAAACAAGGATGAGACAATCCATGAGTAGCTATTAGTTGCTGTACAACCACTTGCAATTCATGCAATTCCTTTTCAAGTGCTTCCCTTTTCTTTACCTCTTCTTGTATTTTAAGTTCCATTTGTTGTTTGTAGTCCTGACTAGGGGGAGGTGCATGGCTTGAAGCTTGTGAAGATGCAACATAAATGTTAGTAGCCTCTGATCCAAGACCATATATTCTTCCTTTTTTGGGACCACCAACAACTTTTGTCCAAATTGACATCTCTTGCTCATTGCTCAAATTCTCCAAGGCATGGCTGTCAATAGCTCCAACATCTGACATATCATCTAGAGACTCTTTCATCTCACTTTGAAACTTATCCTGAAAATAAAATACTCTTAATGATATATTAACAAAATTCAGACATTTATTAACAAAGCACATAAAAAAATCTTGAAAATAAACTTGAGCTCATAGAAAGGAATTACATTTCTAGATTAGACCAAATAAGACCACAAATCCTCTGTTAAACTAAGCAACACAAATTGAAGCAATATATATTTATGGAGTTGGTTAGTTGAATTTAGAGTTGACATGTTTGAAATTTTCTAATACAATACTCTTACCCATATTGCTTTTGATTTCTTGTCAACAAAGGCTTCAGAATTTGATTTCTTGTGAGTCATCAAGAACACTTGAGATGGACGAGCTTCACCCCCTGTCTCTTCCTCCTACATACATGCAAATATGTCAAACAAGTAGGTTTAATTGTAAAATTTGTAAGGAACTTAGTAGAATTAATACATATTTTCTCTTATGCTCTGAAGATGTTATTGATCCTCCAGAGTGGCATGATGGGCCAAGTCCATCCTTACTGCTCAACCTATTCTTTGAATTAGTCTCAGATTTCTTTAGATACTTGGGATCTGTCCAAATTTGCTGAAGTTCCTTCCAGTTATCTTCACTCATCCAAGTAGGTGATATTCCCTTTTCCTTGAATGTCTTCCTTGCATTATAAAGGACAGTTTTCAAGCAACCTCGACCAATAGACTTCTCATAAAGTCCATGTATCTCATTATCAAACCTGTCCTCCCAAATATATACTTTCTAAGATACAAAGACAAAATTGAACAAATTAGGATAAACTTGAATAACCAAGATTTTCAACTAAATAGTAATTTGCATGACTTTGAAAAGAACTTAAATAATAATAATAATAATGTTTACCTTGAACTCTCCAAACCAACGTTGCTTAACCTCAAATGGTGTTTTATCCCAGTAATCCATGGTCCTCCAAAAAACTTCTTTATTATACATGACAATATACGCACAGCATTATGAGGATGATACCTATGAAATGAACAAAATTTAGATTTAATATCAAAATAATAAAGAAACAGATACTAGAAAAACTTATCAATTTTATTTATACGATGTATTATTTGGTTCTAAGTATATGCGCCCATCTGCAGACTTTCGATATGAGACTTTATTTTTTTGTCTATTTGACTTGATTTGTTGAGTCTCATTGGAAGTGGATATATCATTTTCAATATGTGTCTCATTTTCAGTATTAGCCTCTTGTTGAATTGCATGATCAGTTGGTGGTTCCTTAATGGATGCTTCCTCCATAGGTGCATGTTGTACAATGGGTTCTTGCTCTGTGGATGCATTCTTATAGGTGTTTGCTCTATGTCAGTACCACCTCTAACATTTTGCTGATGAATGCTTACACTTCTTGATACTCTAAATGATCTATGTTTTGCTTTACCCCTTGGCATCCCTGTAACATTTATAGATAGAAAAATTTCAAAATGAAGAAAAATAATACTAATAAGCAAGTTAAAATTATAATAACAATAATTCAATAAAAATGTCATAATGATCAAATGCAATAAAATAATGCTAACATTTACAAACCTAAGCTTCATCTTCCTTTTCAGTATTTGATTCATCACTTTCAATACTATCACTCTCACTAAGTTCATCTTCCTCTTCAGTTTGAAATTCCTCATTTTCAAGCTCATCTTCCTCATCTAACTTTTCTAGTTCATCAACATCATTTGTTTCATACTGTAATCTCATCTCATTTTCTTGTATTTCAAGTTCTTCAGCTACCCCTTCACAAAGATTATTAATTGCATCCATGCTTGTGTCATATGGCAATCCCATATCATCTTCTTGGAAGGCTACTTCTGGTGCATTTATCATACTCCTTGCTTTTATTTTACAAACAGCCCACCAATCAGCCCTCTCCCTCTTCTTACTAGCATATTCTCCAAAATAAACTTGTTGAGCTTGTTGAGCAAGTACAAATGGTTCGTACTTTGAAAATCGTTTTCTCTTATTGATCTCAACTAGGCCATAACGACTATGAACCTTGCACTCCCTATTTAATTGGGGATCAAACCAATCACACTTAAACAATACCACTCTAGTTTTCTTAGAGGTTGGATTAGAATATTGCAATTCTATCACTTCTTCCAACAAACCATAATAGTCATATTCAAACTCATTATAATTTGTTCCCTTAATGCACAATCCACAGTTCATGGTAGATTTTGATGAGTTGTAAGCACGTGTGTGAAACCGATATCCATTGACAAAATATTGAGACCATGTATGTACTTCTCTAGATGGCCCAAAAGCTAGATCCTTTATACGAACATCATCTACATTGTTATTTGGGTTAAAAACCTAAGCATAATAAAACTTGTCAATAAGCATATCACACAAACTAAAAAGGCATGTATTAAAATATATATGTTCATGATACTTACATATTCTTTCAACCACTTTGCAAATTCACTATCTATCTTAGTCTCTACATCCTCATTGGTTGCATTAGATATTCTTTTCCTAAGTTGTTCTTCAAATATTCTACAAGATGGCAATGATTACCAACATTAGTAAAGCAAATTGTCATTTAAAAAATGCATAAATATCTTAAAGTGATTGAATTTACCTAAGAAATGGTTGGATTTCCTCACAATTAAGCAGAACATATATAGAAGCTGCATTAAATTCATCATTTGTCAAAAATCGTGTTTTTCCTTTTCCTGCTGTGCGACCAGGATGTCTGAATATAGAAAGGCATCCATCTGGGCAGTCAACCTCACTATGATCATCATTTCGATCAATTTTGTTTAGTTTTGTTTGAACATGAGGTTCAAAGTAATGGGCACAGAATGTAGATGTTTCTTCTATAAGGTATGCTTTAGAAATTGACCCTTTTACGTGAGCTTTATTTTTAACTTTTTTCTTCAAATAATGCAAAAACCTACACAATAATTTTTCTATTAAGTATTCATTTATATAATAAGTAAATTTAATCACAAAATATATTTTATAATTTACCTTTCAAATGGATACATCCATCGATACTGAACGGGTTCACCAACTCTTGCTTCATAAGGTAAGTGAATAGGCAAATGTTCCATGGAGTCAAAGAAGGCTGGAGGAAAGAACTTTTCTAACTTGCAAATAGTTACAATAATATTTTCTTCAAGCTTTTGCATTTGCTCCACTATTATAATTGTTGAGCATATGTCTTTAAAGAATAGACTTATTTTTGTTAAGGCATTCCAAATAGCCTCAGGTAATAAATCTTTAAAGGCAATTGGGAGCAATCTTTGTAAAAATACATGACAATCATGACTTTTCATCCCTAACAATTTACAATTTTCCATGTCAACACATTTAGACAAATTTAAAGCATGTCCATCAGGAAGTCTTAAATTTTTAATCCATTCACATACCAACTTCCTTTGTTGCTTTGTCAAAGTGTATGTTGCTTTTGGCTTCATTGTCTTTCCAACACTCTTAAACAATGCCAATTCTGGTCTGTTACAATAAGTAGACAAGTCCTCTCTAGCCTTTTCATTGTCCTTCGTCTTACCTTTAACATCCATAACAGTATTGAATATATTATCAAATACATTCTTCTCAATATGCATAACATCAAGATTATGGCGAATCAAGTTGGTATTCCAATAAGGCAAATCTCAAAATATAGAACGTTTAGTCCAATTATGTTGACTGCCAAACCCAGGCAACTTGTAAGTTCCATTTTTCTCCATCATTCTTGGCAAGCAACAAACTTTTTCCCATAAGTCATCACTAGAAAATCTTTGAGGGATAGGAGATTTCTCATCATACCCTCTATAAAATGACTTTTTATCTCGACGAAAAGGATGTTGTAGTGGCAAAAATTGACGATGACAATCAAAAAATGTCACCTTTTTTCCTTTTTCCAAGAAGAATGATTTACTGTACTTCATACAAATTGGGCATGACAAAATTCCATGCATACTCCATCCTGATAACATGCCATAAGCAGGGAAGTCATTAATAGTCCATAATAGTGAAGCTCTCATATAAAAATTTTGCTTCTTATATGAGTCATAGGTTAAAGCACCAACCTCCCACAATTCTTTCAACTCATCAATTAAAGGTTGCAAGTATACATCAATTTTTTGCCCAGGGCTCTTTGGGCCAGGAATTATAAGAGTAAGAAACATATATGGAGTTTTCATACACATCCTAGGGGGTAAATTATATGGTGTAACAATTACAGGCCAACATGAATATGGATGTGCAGATTGCCCAAATGGAGTAAACCCATCTGATGATAAGCCTAACCTAACATTTCAGGTTCTAAAGCAAAAGAGGGATAACATTGATCAAAATGTTTCCATGCCTCGCCATCACAAGGATGACACATGACCCCTGGCTCTTGCCTTGTTTTATGATGCCATACCATGTGCTCTGCTGTTTTGGAAGACATATAAAGCCTTTGTAATCTTGGAGTCAATGGGAAATAACGCAGCACCTTGTACGGTATGTCTTTATTACTTCCATTATCTCTTTTTCTAGATTTAAAGCGATCATGGCCACACACCAAACATTCCCTCCTTTCCTTGTTCTCCTTATAGTACAGCATACAACCATTTCGACACACATCTATTTTCTCATACTTCAAACCAAGTTGTCCTACCATTTGTTTAGTCTTGTAATAGTCTTTAGGCAATTTTTCATCATTTGGCAACAATTCTTTTACCCATTGTAAAATACAATTATAGCAATTCTCACTCAAGTTAAACTCAAATTTGATATTTAACAATCTAGATATTGCTGATAATGGAGTGTGCCTACTACACCCTTCATACAGTGGCTCTTTAGCAGTTTCCAACATCTCATAAAATTTTTGAGCATTATGGCTTGGAGGATCATCTAACTCTATATTAGTATTAGGATTGACACTAGGACCAACAGCATCTAAAATCATGGTATAATATGGGTTTTCTAAGATAACATCATCCCTTGTTTCATTAGCACCTTCAACTCTTTCTTCAATATCTCTAGCAACCTCATAATCAATATCATCATAATGTAAAGGTTCCCTGTGATAACTCCATGGGTCATAATTAGGGACAAAACCATGACGATAAAGGTGAACCTTGACGATTTCATACTCTAAAAATTTCTTATTGTCACATTTTGAACACGGACACCTTATTTGGCCATTTGAGACTAGATTTGGTTGAGAAAGAACAAATGCCACAAATTGTTCTACACCATCTATAAACTTTTTGTTGAGTCCTTTTCCACTTTCGTCACGCCGACTATACATCCACATTCGATCATCCCTCATAGTCTTCTACATGATACCATGTAATTATTTAAGACAAAATAACTAATTAACATAACTAATTCAAGAAATAAGGTTTACTAAGTCCAAAACCAGTAAAGAGTTTAATATAGTTAAAAAAATAACACTCCTGGGATGACAATCAAATGGCCTAGCATCCAAAAACCATTAAATTGTAATCTACCAAGGAGCTCTAAAAATAATGGAAATTTTGCACATCAAATAGCACACATGTAGAACTATGAATATGAAATTTCATGGCAAAAATGTATGATCAAACAACCTTTTTTAAAACATTGAAAAACTGCTTGCATGTATAATTTGGTAACTTAATTAATTAGGCTTACTTGATAATAATGAAGTTATGCAAAGCTGCAAGATTTGTACCAATGTACTTCAAAGGACTGCATAAAAGAAAAGAACAAAGAAAGAAAGAAATCAAGTTAAAAGCATATGGTGAATATAATTAATCAAAAAAGAAAAAGCTATGATTAAGTGGACATGAATATAATATAATTAGAAGCATATAATTAATTTTTAGCTGCAGCAAGGAGGACAAAAAGCTTGACAGTTAATTGTTCATTTTTAGTATTACATAAATTTAAAGACAAGAATACTATAAGCCAAAACACACTTTTTGGTTTTAACCCCATCTCACTTGATTGTTTCTTCTCCATCCCTGATGGTCACTAGCTAGAGCTAAGCATTACAATCAATGGGAATGAAAAAGTAAGAAAATGAGAAAGGTAAAAAATAGAGAAATAGAAGCATGATAAAGATATTACCTCAGCTTTGAAAGAAGAAAAAAGAGTTGTTAGCCTTTCAATTGCAGATTCAATGCATAACCTTCACCTTGGAATACATATAAATTAATATACAAATCATTAAAAATAAAATTTCCATTGTTGAACTGACCCTGCGATTGACTACCAGAGCATATAATTAAATTTCAATAAATCCCACACCACAAAACAAAAGACTCCAAAACTAACCACCATAAAAATATTATTAAACAAAACAAGTTGATGTGGTTTCATTCCAAAGTAAGCTAAGAAAAGTCAAAATCCCCTTTTCCTTGGTGGCTTTATTATATTGGTCCATTCAAGTTATTGTATAAATTTGGGTCTCCCGAAGTAAAGCTAAAACTTTTTAGGAAAAGGGAATAAAGTTCATTGTAGTGTTTGGCAACCTATTAAATAATCTCATTATCCCTTCCCATAGTCTCGAAAGAGGAGTCCTAACACTAATAGAATCTATTCTTCAGGCATATTCAACAACTGAGAATACGAAAATCATAATGAGAGCAAGAATACAGACAAAAGCAAAGTGGCAGGGGAAAAGGCTGTGAATTTTTTTTTCAAACCTAGACTATCTAAGAAAGCCCTTTTTCAAACCTACTCTCATGTTGAATCAAGAGAAATGTTTATTGTGCTCAAAGGGGGTCAAAGGCAAAGCGTACCTGAGTGAGGTGAGAAAGAGAAATTGTTGTGCGCCTGATTTCTTCGAGCATCAGTAGCAGAGCACTGGAGATGAACGGCGGGAGCAGAACGCGAGTTTAGTGATAATAGAATTGCAAAGGAGGGAAGGGTTTTAGTTTTAGGGTCTGATGGTGACTCTGAAATTATATTAATTTTCATGTTCAATTTTTTATTATATTATATTAGTAAAATTAACCTAATATTTTACCCATCTAAATGCATCTAAAAAGTAATCATAATTGGTATAAAATATTTATAACATTTAAAAGAAAATTTTTATCAATTATTAATAAATCATTTTAACATAAATATATTTTTATTTCCTATTTTTAACATTAATATCTTTATTAATAATATATTTTTATTTTAACAATACAATTAAATTAATTATCTATTTTATATTAACATAAATAATTAATTGTTATTATACTTTCACACTTAGTGACGGATATCCATAGGTCACTATTTATTAGTCACTAATTTTGTGATTGTTTTGTAAAATTGTGACAACTTTGAGCATCTGTCACAATTTAGTGACCGATAATTAGTGACCAAATTATATCCATCACAAATTATAAACTTTTAAAAGAAATGTGACTGATATTATCATCCATCACTAATCTGTCACTAATCACTATAATTAGTGACGGATATAAAGTTGTCACTAATTATCCGTCACTAATATGATTTTTTCTAGTAGTGGCTCTATAACTCTTATATAGTCTCATTTTAAATAATGTTTATTTATTTAATAGTGAAAACTTAGAATTCCATTTGAAAAGAAGTTTAAATATCAAAGAATTTTAATTAACTAATTAATTTGAGTTCTAAAATTCGTTGATAAAATCATCGGTTTTTGCTTCCATCGTCTATAAAATTCTATGATACTTAATTTTTTTTTCAAATGGAATCCCCAATTTTCACCATTAAATAAATATTATTTAAAATAAAACTAAATCAAACTTATAAAGTAAACGGAAGCATGATATATCAATTGTTTAGATAACATTATAAAAAAGAGCAAAAAATGTTATTTTACAAAGTTATGGGTCGTCTGTTATGACCAATGATACATTCACGCAGCGAACTATGCTGAGACTAATTTAGTTTACATAATAGTCAAAGTTTTATACATAAACAATGAGGGTAATTTGTTCAAAATTTTAAAGTTTAGGGTTCAAAATGCTACTAACATAATAGTTTAGGATTTGTATCTCTAATTAACAATGACACGTCAATATTTAACTAAGGCCCATAGTAAACAGTAATGACGTTAAGAAAGATAACAATAGAGTTTAATTTGTCATAAATTTAAAAGTTTAGAGTTTATTTTAACATTCTAAAAGTTCAGGGTCAAGGGAGTTTTTCGAGCAAGAATTCAAAGTCCATTTTGCTCATTAACCCTATTATAAAAGTACTATATATTTTCTAATCCTTTTAATATTTATGCTATATATGCATGCAATACTCTTTAGAATATATCATGCTTGTAAATTCTAATACCAATGCTGATCCCCAAGCTCAGTCCCTACTGGATGATCCTGGCTAGTGGCTCTAAAATATGAGGCATTTAATCTTTTATCCATGTAATTGTATTTTTACATTATTATTTTCTCCACTAAAGTTATATGAATATATAAATTATAAATGTAAAAGTTTAATTGAACATTACAACATGATATCGAGGACAACATTATTGCTTCTAATTTTAATTATAAATTATTTTAGTATGTTTCATTAGAATTAAGAAAAATTTTAAAACATATTAAGTCTCGTTAAAATTAATGACAGGTCTTATAATTAAGATAAAAGAAAATTCGGTCTTTATTATACATGGGACTGGACGGACTATGTTAAAATCAAATGTTATATTCCTCAAAATTTGAATAACTGTCCCTTTACTGATACTTAGAGCGATAAAGAGAAAATTTTATTTAAACCAAGTCTACCATGTCATTATCCAATAAAAATGTAACAATTCAGATTCAGATTCAGATTATTATAATGGCATGTAGCATGCTTTAATTTAATTTGTATTTATATTATTAAAAAAAAAGTACCCCCGGTCATCTCCCCCCATTTAATTTCTTCATTCGCCATGGCGTCCTCCGTCACTCCCCATTATTCTTTTGGATTTTCGCGAGCAACCTGGCCTTAATCCGAATCGTGGGGGGCACTCGTTTAATTTCATTTGTTTGGTTTTAACCCATAGAATGTTTATCGCCATTGTAATTTCAAAATCCATAAAGTTGTCCCCTATTTTCTATGCTGGCGGACATGTAATGGAATCAAAGAATGAATAATCACATTCATCGAAACTCAGACAACCCACTTCCCAAAGAATAAATTTGAACAGTATAAATTTAAAATTTTTAAGTTACAATTTTTTCTTGATTTTTTAAAGTTTCAGTTTGAAGATTATCTTTACTTTTATTTTTAAATATTATATGTACTAAAATAAAAATTTATAAAAATTTTAAAAAAATTTAATATTAAATTCAAATTGTCCATAATATATCTGGATATTCTTTAATTATAATAAATATAAAAATAAAACCTTAAAGGTGAAACGCGAGATATGGGGAATAATTCATTATTTCCAAGCCCATTATAAATGGGTCGTTTCTGTTGCTCCTCCGATCCTAAAACTGGAAAGCACATTTCCTTTGCTCCGCACAAGGTGCTTTCATGGCTTCCAAAACACAAGCTTTGATCCTTCTCCTTTTGGCCCTCTTGCTCCTAACTCACTCGACCTTCTCCCATGGCTGCCCAATTGTCACCTACTGGGGACAGAATAAGAATGAAACGGAGTTAAACACTACATGTGCCACCAGCAAGTACGAGATCGTAAACATAGCATTCATGAACACATTCGGCAGTGGACGAACTCCAAAAATAGACCTCTCAGGACATTGTGATTGGTCCACGGGTGTCGCTAATTGCACTGGATATTACTCCCAAATAGCCTATTGCCAAAGCCTAGGCGTCAAAATCTTCCTTTCTCTCGGAGGAGCCTCTGGGCAATATAGCCTTTCTTCAGCTGAAGACGCCAAGGAGTTTGCAGGCCACCTTTGGACCTACTACCTCAGTGGCCAAAGTTCAGGTCTGCTTGGTCTGGTCGCCTTAGATGGCATCGATTTTGACATCGAACAAGCCGGCGGAAACTTGTATTGGGATGATCTTGCGAAAGAGCTTCACGCTTACAGCCAACTAAAGAAGTTTTACTTGTCAGCAGCACCACAATGCCCTATCCCAGATGACTCCTTAAACACGGCCATTGAAACTCAGGTATTCGACTACATCTGGGTCCAGTTCTACAACAACCCTCCCTGCGAATACACCGATGATGGAGATACTCAGAAACTTATAAATTCATGGGACCAATGGACCACCGACTTCACCGCCACCAAGTTCTATGTCGGCCTCCCGGCTTCTCCTGCTGCAAATGGTAGTGCTGGTGGTTATGTCCCAATTGATGTGCTCAACAATGAGATTCTTCCGGTAGCAGAAACCAATCCCAAGTTTGGTGGGGTAATGTTATGGAGCAGGTACTATGATTATCAATCTGGGTACAGCGATCAGATCGTATGTACTACCCCCGGAGCTTTTAATGTTGTAGGTGCGCCGTTGGTCGCCATGATGAAATCTGCCTCGGAGGTTCTGTATCGCCTTTTATCGCAGTTCTAGCGTGACTGCAACCTCTATACTACATCTCATGTGTGGAATAAGTTATAGGGGGCTAGTGCCTTGCATCTTTAAGTGATAACTGCCTGATTCTAGTCAAGCTGTCATCATTAATGAATAAAAGCTTTCATTGAGTACATGATAATATTGTCTTAAGGTTTTAGTTTTTTCTTTCTTGCTCATTTGGATGTTGTTTGCGATCGCGCTGTGCAGGCGGACACAGACAGAAACACAAATCAAACTGGACTCATATGTAGTTCAATGACGACATCGTCTAATTATTTCAGGCCCCAGCTGCTTCTAATTAATAAATAAAAACTTTTCGTTGAGGTACGCGGACGTGATACTGTTGTTTTAAGGTTTTAGTTTGTGTTTCTTGTTGATCTGAATGTCGTTTGCGATCATGGTGTAGATATGCTGACACCGCAGTTTCTCCAAATTAAATTAAACTGCCAAAAAAAAAAAACAACCTGTAGAAAGAGGATATATACTTGTAGACTTTTGTCGTATTGTTTTTTGTTGAGTGCCGTTTAATATCTTATGCCGATTATGTTATAATGGTGTCTCTCTGTTTTTTTTTTTTTTTTAACAAAACGAATCCAAAAACCAGCAAGCCTAAATAGCCAGTGGTATTATTACAGTCTTTATCCATAGTGTTATATTGGTGTCTCTGTTATTGTTGTATAAATACCCGTTCCACATCTTTAATGAAGCAGTAGTCAAATCTATATTGAATATTATTTTGTTGGGCTCGATCCAAAACACATAAAAGAAGATCAATCCAAATATCACGATCAGCGATTTTGGTGCCCTGTAATTTCAGTCATGCATGGTCCCAGAATCAGTGGCGATGAAGTTTCAATTTTAACACGTGGCACATATAAATATTCTATCTCGATTTTTCCCTATTGGAAATAGAATCAATCAATCTACGGCATGGTTAATTCATAGGTTTTTTTGTCACGATCGAAGCTAAGTTAAAGAAAGCTAGATCTTCAATACAATAGTCTCTCTTATTCCTTTTATAAAGTCTCGTGAATTATTTTTATGAGATTAAAAAAAAATTAGTTAAAATTAATTAAATATAAAAAATCTTTATCATTTTTCAAAATTGCCACCAGTCAATTAATTAAAGTCATTATTTGAATTATGAATAAAAGAGACAAGGGATTTTTAAAAATGACTCTAAAAGTTTTATTAAATTTTATAAAAGATAAATGAGTAAATTGACCCCTAAATTATAGGTCTAGAAACATTTGAAATCTTAAACTCATCTTTTATGCAATGCCCTTTTTCATCAACTTTTGAAAGCAATATAATTTGATCCCTTATTGTTAATAAAAGTTAATTTTGACAGTTAATTAACCAAAAAATAACTTAAAAATTATAAAAAAAAAGACCCAAAAATTATAGCAAAGGACTCAAAAATTACAGAAAATACTGATGAAATTTTTTAAGTCATTTTTTATCATTTTTTTATTAAACTAACAATCAAATTAAGTCAAATTTTGTTAATAGTAGAGGTCAGATTGTACTATTTTTTAAATAAAAGAAGAATATTGTATAAAAAATAAGTTTAGGGCCTATAATGTAGGGCCAAATTTGCTCATTTACCCTTCTATAAATGCTCATGCCTTAAAAAGGGTCTTTTTCTTTTGGTCAATTAAAGGAAATATTTTTAAAAGAATTGCATACAAGTCTCATACAAGAGAATTCTATTAGTTATTATAAGGTTCATTAATAACTAACTAAGGCCATTAACAATACAATGCGTTATTATTATTTTTTAATTGTTAATGGATATTGTAATAACTAATTATCTTATGTAGGACTTCAATATAATTCTCTCAATATTTTTTTTATCACATGGAAAAAATTTAACGCTAATGATTACACTATATAGGCCTTCATTAAGTCGTGTTTTGTTCCTTTTGTTTCGTCTCATTATACAGTATCATGAAAATTATCAATTTATAGATGCATTTGATAAATCGTGTTCAGTATACAAGTTTGGATATTTGATTCTAAACTCCCCTTATTCTTTTAAAGCCAAAAAAGGAGAAAAAAAAAACTCCCCATATTCTTCTCCAAGTGAGGTTGTTCCAAATAAATCTATGTAGTACTCCTTGAGAGAGCCGTGTGAAGAAATTTAAAGACCAAAGGCAAAATTTTTAACAAAGCCTAGCACATGTAATTGTGCTTTTCAAATGCAAAAAATATCCATTATCATATATCAAAATAGAGAGATAAAAAGTTAAATTAAAAGTGAGATTGTAAAAAAGAGTTGGAGTGATATGATATGATGGAAATTATTTTTTTTTATAAGATGATGTAATGTCAATTAATATATTATCAATCTCACTATTTTTTTCAAGTAAATAATGAGCTTAGCCCAATAATTAAAGTTATATTGAAAATGATTGAATTTTTTTCAATTAAAAAAACGATCAATACTTTTTATTTTATTTGATCTATAATTAAACATATAACAATAAAAATATCATTTACACACAAGACATATACATACATTACGATTTTATTTTTTTTTGGAGGCCTATGACCTTGAGGCTTACACGGCCTTGCTCCTTGTGTCCCTTTTATAGACTCTATTTACTGCTTTCATGAGATTAAATAAACTATAGTAAAAACTAAAAAATAAATATAAAATCTTTTTACAACTTTTTAAAATTTCCCTTTATTGATGTATTTCAATGTGGGGAGAGAGAGGGGATGGAAAGAAAGAGACATGGAGACTTTTTTAAAAAATAAGTCGCAATTATGTCATTAAATTCTGAAATAAGTCTTATATATTTAGAAGTAGTAAGTACGTATAGTATCTTACTATAAATAGGATTGGATGAGGACCTAGTAACTACCGTAATGCAGTCGATTCTTTCTAAACTTCCCGCGCGTATGTAGCGTTGAGATTTGAGGGATTACATTTATAGCGATCCAGAGACTAGAATGTTTACAATCATGGAAATTCCATATTCCACGTACGTTTGCATTGTGTAATTGCAATACCACAAGACAATTCAAAACCAGGTAAAAAAAAAAAAAATCATGTGGGAAGGAAGCAATGTCGGAAGGATTTCCCTTTCAATGCAGTAAAAAAAAAATGCAATTATGTTGTTCGAAAAAACCGAAAGACATTAGGAGAATCCGAATATCACGAGACGGACGATGTTGATCCACTAACATGGTCCTAGAATTACGAACCACAAAGCTTCACATTTAATACCAAACGAAGGAAATTAAAAGAAACAACCGAAAATTTCGCCATCGATCCACCATTTTAATTTGGTCCCCAGCCTAGTTGCTGCTAGCATGGTCCCAGAATAAGTGGCTACAAAGCTTCACCTTTAACACTTGCCACAGTTAAAAGCAATAATCTACCTCGTCATTCATAGGTTAACTTCTTTGGTAGAAGACATTAGATATACATTGTGATCTGTTTGCTATATCAAATACGAAAAACTTGCGACCACAAGCCACACAACATGATAAAAAGATATGGAAGTGAAGAAACAAACGAAATTAATCGATAAACTATAATTTCTAGATTTATAGAAATTCCATATTCCACATACGTTTGCATTGTGTAATTGCCACATCAAAATACGACAAGACAATCCAATGCAAGGAAAAATTTCGAACACGTGGGAACGAACTAGTATCCAAACGATTTCCATTTCAATGCAATAAATCGAAAGGCAATTATTAGAACCAAAACGTCACGAGACAACGGACGATGTGGGTCCCCTAAGATGGTCCTAGAATCACTAACCACAAAACTTTAGATTTAATACCAAACAATGGAAATTAAAAGAAACAACCAAAAATTTCACCATCGATCCACCATTTTAATTTGGTCCCCTGCCTAGTTGCTGCTAGCCTGGTCCCAGAATAAGCGGCAACAAAGCTTCACCTTTAACACGTGCCACAATTAAAAGCAATTTTCTCTCTCATATAAATATAAATATAACATAGCTCCTTTGTGTGTCAGAATTCAAATTAATACTCCCCCATTTAAAAGTATAAAATATTTTTAATTAAATTTTTTTTAATAAAGTAGTTACTTACTTTTAAATTAATTATATCTTTTTATATTTAATCCTATTTAATAAGGTATTTCACTATGAAATAAATATAAAATAATCTATTTAATAGCAATACTTTTAAAAAAAAGGCAATGATTATATCTTGAAGGACTAAAAATATCTTATATTTTTAAATATTTAATTATTTAAAAAATATCTTATATTTTTTGAACAAAAGAAGTAGTTAAGATCTTCAATGATTTGGTGTGGGATCTGTACAACTTTTGCTTTGCTTTATCTTTCTTCTTTTCCTTAATTTGAATTACTTTCTTCCCTACATAATATAAAAAGGATAAATTTCAGTAGATTATATGACAAAATTTCTTTTTATCTTATAATTTAGTGATAAGAGAAAAATGTCTAAATATTAATTAAATAGGTATGAAATATTAATAAATATAATTAAATATAGTCTAAAATATATATCTATTTATCAATAAAATATGCATTTATCACATATCTACTTATACATTATTCATGGTTGATTTCTTTTCATGGATGCTAAATATTATAACTTTGTGGTACTTACTAGTAGTGACTTTAATTTATTATAAGATTTATTAAAATTCATCAAATGATAAAAAATATGGCCTTTTTTTTATTGAAAGTGATATTTTTAAATTACCTTCGATAAAAAAATTCCTTTTTTTAAAAAAATGTCACTTTCTAAATTGATTGTAAACTGCAACTGATTTAGAAATTAGAATTTTTAAACCTCATCTAAGCTAGATAAATTTTAGAAAGATCACTTTCTAAACTAGTTCTGGTTACAACTGATTTAAAAAGTAATTTTTTAAACTAGTTATACGACCAGTATAGAACCATCCATATCTAAACCGATTTGAGAACTAGTTTAGAAAGTTTTTTAAAAAGTTATTTTTGTATTAGTGAATATTCTCTTTGATTTTTTGTATAAAATCTTGTTAATTACTTTTGTGCGATCAAATTATCAAAATTAACTAAATGTAAAAAAAAATCTTTATAGCTTTACAAAGTTCAAATCAAAATCATTATTGAATTTAAAAGTAAAAGGGACAATAATGTGAATGCTGTTGTATTAAAAATAATCTAGGTCACTTGCCAAATTCAAATATCAATATAATTACTTAATTAGCATCACATGATTATCACTACTGCAAAAAGGTAATTTAATTCGAAATACATTGTGACCTATTTGCCATATCAAATACGAAAAATCTTACGCGACAATGGTAAAAACGTATGGAAATGAAGAAACAAACGAAATACCAAGATCGACGATTTTGGTCCCCTGGCTAGTTGGTGTCATGCATAGTCCTAGAAATGATCTCTGGCGATAGAGAGCTTCATTAACTTGTGACATACAAATCTTCTATCTCTTGATTCTTTTTTCCTATAGGATCAATCAATCAGCCTCATGGTTTATTCATGGGTTCTTTTGTCTCCAAGCTAAGTTACTGGGAACTAGATCTTCAATATGACACTCTCTTTGATTCTTTTTATATAGCCTTGTTAATTACTTTTTAAGATCAGATTAGGCAAAATTAATTAAATCTGAAAAAATCTTTATACTTTTACAAAATTACCTCCAATCAAATTTAAGTCATCATTAATTCATTATTTAAGTTAAGAGTAAAAGGAGAAAATAATGGCATTTTTAAAAATGACTAAATATTTTATTAAATTTTATGAATGATCTTGTATTAGAAATGAATAGCTAGGATCTTATAAGATTGAGGGAAATATTTTTCGCCCCGAGGGAAATATTTTTTCCCCTCTTGGAAAAAGTTAACTCTAACGGGGCCTTCATTCAGTTGTGTTTTGTTCCTTGTTTTATCTGATCATACAATATTCTGAAAATGATCAATTTATAGAAGCATTTGCAAAATTATGTTTAGTACACAAGTTTCCATAGTTCATTATTCTAAACATCCCATTTCTTTCTCTAAGTCACGTTGTGCCAAATAAATTCAGTCCCTCCCCATTTACTACTTATATGAGAGTAAGGAAATTAAACCTGTCAAAATTAAATATCAAAGCTTCTTTACAACTTGTCAAACTTACCTTAGTCGGTATAGTTCAAAGTGAGGAGAAAGGGGAATGAAAGAAAGAGACTTGAATATTTTTAAAAATGAGTCACAAATATTGTATTAATCTTCATTAAAGGCCTTGTATTAAAAACCAATGGATAGTATTGATTAAAAAAAACCAATAGTATATTCTATAATAAATAGATAAAAGAAAAAGTGTAAGATGAAATAACATAGAACTACCTTAATAAAAGAATATATATAAGTGGATTCTTAATTAACAGACAGCTGTGGGCAAGATAACGTACTTGGATTCGGTGAATGGCTAAGGTATATACATTTAATAAGTATCTCACATGACTTGATAATAATCCTTCAATTTAATGGAATGGTTGTGAGATTTTGTCATATAATATTCAGAATATATCAATTTTTTAGAAGGGATCACACATGTGAGGAGTGTTTTGATCATAAGGATTGTTTCGAATTTTTAAAAGAAAATATATTTTGATAATTTTAAGTATTGTAAAATTTAATAGTCATAATTAAGGAACTCATTAATAAGTAGACTTGGGTCACTTATTGAATTTGAATCTAAATGTAATTAGCATCACATGATTACACTAGTGGACAAAGTTAATTTAAAGACACAATTTTCTCATTAGTTGCAAAAAGAACTGCGATGTTAATGACTGAATGTCGATTCTATAAGAAGAGAATGAGTAGTTATTATGTCGTCTATTGCTACAGTGCAGCAACGCCATAATAATGCAAGTTGCAACCCTTGGTTTTCAAGCGAATTGTGGCGTCTATTGCTACCATGTGCAACAGACGCCATGATAATGCAACCTTCTTTTTTTAAAATTAAAAAAAAAAATGCAACCCCGCTTCACTCCTGCGCAATTATTTCCTAAAAAAAAATTTAATTATTCCTACACGCCCTTCAACTCTCTCCATTTGATATCTCTTCCTCCTTTATCAAAAAGTTTCTGATCACTAATAATTCTGGTTATCGTGATTAAGCTTTGAAACTTAATACTACTAGCTTAAAGTTTTCCAATTCGATTACTTGTAGGGAGGAGGAAAAGATTTTTTTATCAAAATAAGAAAATAATTTTTAAATTACAAAAATTAATATTTTTAAAAATTAAATGCTAAAATCTTACTTAAAATTTTTAACTATTAATTAATCAATATATATGTGCGCATATTCACTTAAAGTTTTTAACTATTAATTAATATTTTCAAGGAAATAAATCTCTTGAAAAGAAAAGAATATTTTCTAATAGGACCAAACTAAGAAAATAACCTAGCATTTATTACATTTTGTATTATGGCCAATTTATTGTATTTGTCAATGATATAAATCATTGTATAGTAATGATAAACTTTTTATAAATTTTCAATAATCAATCCCATCTATATCAATGATAAACTTTTTTTATATCAATATAAACCAGCCACACTCCAAAATATTCAAAAATTTGGTCCATCTTTGTTGGGTGTAAGATTTTTTCCGACTGGTAAGCCAATGTATCCCTATTATAAAAACTAATATGTTATCTTTAAAACACATTATTTAAAATTTAATTTAATTATAAAATTATCATAACTAATTATACACAACATCTAACTAATTGTAACATATTTATTTTTAATTAATGATTTATAAAGATAACTGAATTTGGAAAGGAAAAAGAAATTTAGTTAAATTTATAAAAATATATAAAATAGATATAATGCAACTTGGTTTAAGTTTTAAGAGATAGAAATCTGAACTGAACTAAATCAATCAGTTTTGCTCTAAAAAAAAGAAGAAGAAGCAAAACATTATTTATAATCAATTTGTATAAGTTTGATTGGACTTAGTTTGGTTTAATGCGTTTGGATTGATTTATAACATCTCAGTTCCACGTAGTTTCCAGAGTGTATTTGCAACAGTACAAACAAACACGTGGGAACCAATTAGCAATATCCCAAGAACATTCCTTTCAATGCACTAATACAAAACAGCTATTACTAGAAACGACCAAAAGGGAACCTTATTGGGGACCCCTGACAAAAGCCTACTAATAGAAATAGCCAAAATGGTTTTAAAAGAAACGACCAAAACTTTCACCACCGATCCACCGTTTTAATTTGGTCCCCTGCCTAGTTGCTGCTTGCGTGGTCCCAGAATAAGTGGCTACAAAGCTTCACTTTTAACACGTGGATAAACATTGACGTTAATCTGACCCTTGTCCCAGCCCAAAGCATGTATCTTTGCTAATATGTTAAGTTATTACCTTGATCGTCCCCTCCCTCCCTCTGAGTGAGAGAAAGAGAGAAAGTTTTTTTTAGGGAGATTCAACATCCCAAAATAGAAAATATCTTGATGAAAATAAAATTTTATTAATGATACATTTTAATATTATCTTTCTTGTTATATTCTTTGTTCTTGATATTTTTTTATAAATCAAATATTAAATGAAGAATAATTTTAAAAATGTATATTTTTATTTAAATAAAATAAAATTTTAAAGAAATATAATTTATTAGTGTGTATAATTTTGTCTAAAAATATTTTATAATTTACGAGAGAAGGATAACTATATTGCAGGGCCAGTTCTAATTATTATAATCCAATCGAAAAAAATTATTGATACTGAATTTTTGTCTCATGCCCCGTCCTACCTTTAGTCATCCCATTTCATTGGGAATCATGATGAGACAGAGACAAGATTAGGACAGCTCATTGTCTTGATAAAGTGGATATTGTGGGAGAAATGCTTGGATAATAACATTCATTAATTAAAATTTTAAATCACATAACTTATTAAGTTTAAATCCAAAACAACATGAGTACATAAATTACAACAATTATTAAATTGCATCAATTACAACAAGTATAAAACTTAAAGTTAAGTATACATGAGACACATCACATTATGACAGCAAGTATAAGTAATTTCTAAGCTCTAAGAGTAACAACAATAGACAAGCTCAGCACAACAGTTATGAAATAGGTAAATATAAGAATAAATTATATTAATATAATTAATATATTGTAAAGAAAGATATTACCTTGTATTACTTAATCTATGTCATTAAAATTATAAATATAAAAAAAATTTAGTTTTAAATAAGAATATCACGTATTGAAATTAAATTAATATAAATATAAATTATATTAATATAATTAATATATTTAATGTGCATTTTTGAAATAAAAATAATATATATCTATATAATATTCGGGACATTTCGAGGACAATCCTGTATCCCATCTCATACCAATTATTTTTGAGCCAAAATGAGACCCGTCCCAATATAAATAGGATGGAATCGGGCTAATCAGATGGGTACAAGTTAAATATCATTACATGCATGCATGGTGCATACATGCCTACACCAACGCTATATAATATAATATTCCATTACTTCACATTTTCTTCTTTGTTTATAATATCATCAGCTAGGCCTTACAAGTCCCGACATGGCATTCTGCAAAATTAGTTTGTGTTTCTTATATATACAGGTATATTCTAGAGGACATTAGGGATTCTTTATCGTGCTTAATTTGAGATACAATGTACACATATATAATTGTTGACACTTATAATAGATTCCAGGTTTGCATCGCAAAACAAATAAATATATAAATCATCAGCGCGGTGGTGTCATTTTCGTATTCTTGTTATTGAGCTCATCATATTGTTTTAAAGAAAGAGAAAGAAAGAAATTAGACAATAATGAGCCCTAGCCCTAGCCCATTATAAATAGGTTGGTTTGGTTCCCCCCATGCAACAAGAAAGCATTACCTTTGCTTCTCTCAAATATGGCTTCCAAAACAAGAGCTTCGTCTATCATCCTCCTTTTGCCCTTGTTGCTGTTGTCTCAGTGCTTCTGCGATTCCGATGCCTATGAAAGAGTCACCTACTGGGGCCAGAATGCAAAAGTTGAAGGAGACTTGGTGGACGCATGTTACAGCGAAGCCTACGAAATCATAAACATAGCATTCCTCGATACATTCGGCAACGCAGCGACACCTACCTTAAACTTAACCGGACATTGTGGTGATTCCTCGCCGAATAAACGCCCTTGCACCGAATATGCCTCCCAAATAAAGGCATGCCAAGAACACGGCGTCAAGATTTTCCTTTCTCTGGGTGGGTACTATGGGAACTACCAGCTAGCTTCAGTTGACGAGGCTAAACAGTTGGCAGAATACCTCTGGAACAACTTCCTCGGCGGCCAAACGGAATCAGAACTTCCGCTAGGAAATGTGGTGTTAGATGGCATCGACTTCTTCATCAAACATGGTTTACCAAACTTTTATGATACTCTAGCGAAACAGCTTCACGCTTACTCCCAAGAAAAGAAGTTTTACCTATCAGCAGCACCACACTGTGAAATTAAAGATAAATACTTGTACTCAGCCATCAAAACTGGGGCATTTGACAAACTTCACGTTTTGTTCTACGAAAAGCCTTCGTGCCTATACCAAGATGCTAATACTTCGAAGTTTCTAACAGCATGGGACTCGTGGGCGGACAAGTACCCTTCCCCGAAATTATATGCCGCCGTCTATCCAATTTATGGCCGTACATACAATGTCCCACTTCGCTCTCTCAACCAGAAGCTGATTCCAGTCCTAAAATCCACTCGTAATTTTGGCGGTGTCGTGGTGTCCAACAGGTCTGATGATGTTCAAACTGGTGATCCTACGTACTGTTATCAAATCGACTTCGATCAAGATCTCCAATCTGCGCCAACGATTAACTTGATGATGCCATCTGCCTAGACAACAATATGTATCCTACTATCACGGAGGTCGAGTGTACGTACAACCTCGATCTGTGCGTTTCTATTATGTATCATGTGTCGAATAAGTTGCTACAGGCTAGTGCAACCTTGTGTGACAACTTGAAGTATCACGTTATCATCGATAAATAAAACTATCGTCATATATATACATGCGCAGCACAGTACTACTTTTATTTTAAGCCACGCCAGATTTTCCATTATGAATAATATGCCTTTAATTTGATCAGTAATCTCCATAAATATGTGTGTATGTATGTAATGATGAAAAAGACAAATAGGTCAGCATAAGTAAGAATTAATCAATTATAGAGATAATGAACTACTAATTTCAGTATAACACATTTCCTTGAGTCATCACTCATCATATTGTTTCTTTTTTAAAAAAAAAAAAGAAAAAATTAATCATTTAATCATTCAAATTTTAACTCGATAATGACTCAATACCTTAAATTAAACTCGTTGTAATTCAATCCTTCACCTTTGTCCACTTAAAAATTTTACCTTTGTCATGAGTGAATCAAACTGGACTTGCTTATGTGTAGCAAACAATACTTACATGGCATCTTTATCAACAACCCATCATATTTATGTACCAAGATATTAACAAAATTTACGAAAAAACTTAGAAATTTGAAATTAAAAACGGCAGAGAGACGAGCCTGAATCAAACAAACAAAACAAAGGGCAGACCAGGGACGGCAAAGCGGAGAAGCTACAATGACCAACAGAGTCGAAGGAAGAGAGATCTAGAACTACTGTAAACGCATGTGTAGCTTCTGAGGGAGCAAATCTGGAGGAAGCTCATCTGAATATGGTTTTGTATAACTCTAAAGATAGGCATTTACCTGAACTTGTTTTTCTGAAAACCTCCGCACATCCAAGTAAAACTTTGTTGCTTTAGCCAGTGGCGGGGGGGGGGGATCAACAAGGGCCATGGCCCCCCTCCAATTTTTTTAAATTTTTTATATTATATAAATGTTACATATTTTTTATCTCTTAAAATTTATGAAAACTTTATAATGTATATGTTTTTTAATCTTAGCCCCCTTTATTTTTAAATCCTCACTTCGCCCCTACCTTTAGCAGAGATGACATGGAAAAAAAGAAACCAACTGCTATCAATACTAACTAATAACTACACATATAAAAAGCAATTAAAACATAAACAAAAAGACGCTATTAGAAAAAGAGTTATTTAAACTGCTTTTTCAGACCGGTATTGCGAAACTCATTTGAAAAATAAGTGCGGCATTTTTGTAAATAATGAATGAGATTGGAAGACTTTTCAAACTGGTTCCTTATACAACCGGGCTTAAATATATTTTTAGACCCATTGTAGAAACAACCGGTCTAGAAAGTAAATTATTTTACACCTATGCTTTTAAAAGCTGGTTTAGAAACATTTGATCTACATCATCGACGTTCTTTTTACCCATGGACCCTTAACCCCACATTGAAACTTTTTGCCCACGCAATCTCTCTTCTCCCTATCGTCGCTAGAATATCGGCAGACGTCAAATCCTTAAGATTTACTATGAACAAGCTTGTCAAAGGAAATTGTTAAGAGATGATCCTTTTGCATTTTCAAGAGGTTCCAGAGATCGAAAGGGTCCCTTGCCATATGAATATCATTATTACAAAGTTTTAATTTCCTTCTATCCAACTGATTCCAAAAGCCCGCAAAATGATAACGAGGATTCATGAGAAAAAGACAGAGTTGCTTTGGAACATAATTAAGAGTGACTTAGATGGTATGTTAAACATCTATGGCCAACATTAAGTTACAAAGTGGAAGCCTGATTGTTCTAATCTCCTGATGACCATTTGAACACCCAAACGAACAACTGGGTGGTTAAGATGAGATTTGAAGATTGATGGGGTAGTCTTGCTCCATCGTCGAACAACAGAAGCATGGTGGGTGGCAGTAACTTTAATTTCATGATTGACTAGATTAATAGAGAAGATTCGATAATCAGAGGAACCTGGAGATGTGCTTTCACAAATGGCTACCAGCATTTCAATCAAAGAAGGTAAAGACTAAAAGCTAACTAAAGTAATACCAGGACCGGATTCCGAAAACGACTACAGCAATTCACAGGAAAAATGTTTCCAACATGCAGTAAAACGGTAACAATTCTTCAAGCCAGCCTTACCAAACCTCACGCTGCAGACTAATAATTATGGAAGGGGAATAGAAATTCAACAAGCAGAAACGGCAAGAAAATCCATGCCAAATTCACAGAACTTCCAGCTCAGAAGAATATTATCAAAATTGAATTGAAAACATTTTACCGAGTTCTGAGGACAACAATAGTGAAGGATGCAAAAATGGCTGGCAAGTTACAAATTCACAGCAATTTCCAGCCACGGTCAGAGTCAGAACTTGAAACCTGTCTATGTCGATCAAATCCTGAAAGCAAGTCTAGACAACAATCAATTCCGATCACTAATTCGATATAAGAAGCAGAAATCAGTTGAGTCTAGTCAGATTCACTTAGGGTTTTTTCGGGTCATTCATTCTCTTTCTAATCCTCCAAATCTTTGGGATAGCGTTGTCAAACGATGAAGACAAGCAGAACGATACAGATCGGGGTCTCTAAAGCTATTTTCGGTGGTACACGCGCCGGGGTATGATGAATCCCGTCGAGCCTTCGCCAAAGCTTTGGTCGGGTCTTCGTCGGGTCTCTGCATTATCATTGATTACAATAAACATCAATAACATGACGGATTTACCCACTAACGACACGAAGCCTAATGGAACCATTTATTTGCATTTTTCATCAACGTGCACATCGCATATGTATTAACACCTACGCATTGAAATGTTTTCCTCCACAATTTAAAATCCGAACCCACTGATGATTGGTTAATCGGTGAACCCACGAGCCTGTACCTACTATCTGGTCTGGTTTATATTGCTTAAATGATAAATTTAATATTACTCCCTCTATTAATAAATATAAAACAATTTTTAAGGTGAAATGTTAAAAATATAAAATATTTCAGGCTATAATTAATGAGGTTTTTTAAAAATATTGTTAATTAGAGGTGTAATAATAAATTTTCTAATTAAAACACCTTATTAAATAATAATAAATGTGGAAAGATAGTATTATTTTAAAAATAATTAATTAACTCATCAAAAATCAAATTCATTTAAACAAAAGTAGTGTGTGTGTGTATATATATATAAGTTGATGGGCAATTGGTATGGTTTTTACATGGATCATGGATGACATAAAGCGTCTGTTAATACTCTGAAGCAAGGAATTGTAGTTTATATTTTCAAAGGACAAAATATGATTCCCATTTCATTGACTTCCATGATTATGTTATCTTCTCTATCTTTATCATTAATAAGTCTGCATTTTGATACCTTCATTAATTAATTTAGTCTTTTTTTATTTTAAACATACTTATTATGCATAATCAATTTTTCTTAAATTGTATGAGCGTATTAAAATTTACTTATACTTTGATGAAGATTGTTTTTTTCACCACAAAAGAGTGAACTATATTGATATAAAAAAAATCAAAGTACTTCCTCCGGTCTATGTTATATAGTAAGTTGAAAGTTTAAACTACTTCATTGAAACTAAGGAAAAGTAGTTAAGTTACTAATTTTATATAAAAATATAATAAACTTTTAATTTTACCTTTATTTAATTGAAATTTTTTTAAATTTGTATTATATTCTCTCTTATATAGTTAATGAATTTAAATAGAGATAATATTGAAAAAAATACTCCCTCTAGTCCAATTTATAAGACACTTTTAACTAATTAATCACAAGAATTAAGAAAAGTGATTAAAATTAATTAAGTGTGTTGATTTTTTCAAAAATTTCCATAGAAATCTCAAATTACCCTTAATTAAAATTATTAACTTTTTCTTTAAATCTTAAAATCAAACATGCCATCCAAATGAATCAATTAGGCATGTGGGTATTTTTGGAAATAATTCATTAATCCTTCATCAAATTTTATAATGTATCTTATGTTGAGAACTAAACAAAACCTTTAAAAGGCGACTCACAATAGAAACTGTGAGGATTACACACACACACACACTACAGTCAAAACCAAGAAAAAACTCTAAAAACCTATCGATACAATGTGACTCACTAAAAACTTACCAAAACAAACCAAAATACGCATATAATGCCTGAATATTAGCTGGACATCGATTTCATTAAACTTCAATTAGATTTTGGCCAAAAGGAAAACTTCAAGATTATGCAATTCCTTGCAAAGGGGCCAGATACGCTTGGCTTTATCATCAAACTATTTTTTGAATGAAAGTGGGAATATCATTAAGCTAATGAACTGTACACCAGATAAACAAAAGAAAGCAAGAAAATTAGGTCAAAGAATTTTAAAGGGTATGGTTAACTATGATTCTAATGTTCACAAGGAAAGAGTCAACACTGTGAGCTGCATCAGCGAAAATTGGTTTCCTGCATCCCATAATTTCCAGCATATGATGCTGGATCCCACTTTCCAAGCGATGTCAAGCGTGTTAGATCAGAGGATATTGACTAACCAGGAGTCCACTTTTTCCTTGCAAAATTCAGTGTACAAGTCATTAGGGGGCAATTTTTTCCACACACAGGCAGCAAATGAACAATCCTTAAAAACATGATTGATTTCTTCTGCTGGACCATGACAGATGGAGCTTTGTTGGTCTTGGGTTATCTTTCTACGGAACCCCTCAGAGTTGGTAAGAAGCCGTCCCTTTAGCATTAACCAGAGGAAGGTTTTAATTCTTTGAGGAACAGAGAGCTCCCAAAACATAATTCCTTTTGGCATCTACATCATTGCAGTGAAGTGATTGGAAAGCTCTGTGTAATAACTTAAAAAAAAATTAATGTAAAATAAATTTATATCAAAGTATTGTGATTTATTTTATTAATTTTGGTACAAATATCATGAGTAAGAGAAAACAGTGCTCTAGTGATGTGTGCGCCCATAAATTTCTGTCATATCTCCTTCAGTCTGAATCATCTTGGTCCAAGGAAAGAGATGTTTATTTTGCTTCAGCTTTGGTTAAAATTACTGTAATGCCCTTTTAAAAAATTTTAATTAATAAATAAATAAAAAAATATAACAGCTGATTCTTTTGTCTGCTCCTCATCTCCATCTTCTCGACTATTCCAGAATGAGGAGGGAGAGAAATTTGCTCTCCATTCTTCGTACACCATCCACCTTCCTTTTCGTTCTGTCGCTGGTGACTGTGAGTGCCGGAGTCTTCCTCTTCATCCTCCTTTGCGACTGACGCCAATGACCTCCTTACTTTCTCGAGCTGACTCATGTCTGAACTGGGGAAGAGTAAGAGAAAATCTGTCGCTCTCTTCCTCCTCTTCATAGCTCGCTGCTGCCGTAGGTAAATACGGCAGCTCCGTCCATCACTCAAATCGTGAGTTCTTCTTGCCTTTATGCTGTCGATTTTCTCTTTTCTTTCCTTAGCTCACTGTTCTTCTCCCTCCTCTGTTGCTAGCATGATCTGGGTTCTTCAATGTTTTACTATGGAAGTTAGTTCGTTGTTGGAAGAGGTTCAAATTGAGGCTGTCTCTTCCCCTGCACCACCGCCGTTCTTCTTTTGCCTTTGTCATTGGGTCTCTTATTCCTCATCTTGACTTGCTTCAAGTGCGTTTGACCCTCTCTGTTTTTTTTTTCCTTGTATGTTCTGTTTGTGTGTGTGTGTTTAATGATGGAGATTGTGTTTTTTTTTTTTTTCCTAGCCTTGCTGTTCTGCATGTTCGAATATGGAGAGAGAAGTTCAAGCAAGTTGACATATTACTCTTTTGAGGACGATGAAGAAGTATGGACTTGAATTTTATTTGAGTTTAATTTGAATTTATATATGAATGAAATTAGGGGAAACTAGACTAATTCAAATATAGATATTGGAGAATTTTGAGAACAATTGTTGGGATGAATGGAAGAATTGAAGCTTGGTATTAGTTAAGATTGGATGTTTGTGAGATATTTTATGAAATAGCTGTTGGAAGGAGTTGGCCCATGATGATTAAACATGTGTAATAATTTAATTGTTGTTGTTTAGAAAATTTTTGGAAGGTACTTTTCTTTGATAGAAGTTGAAAGCTTGGTCATTTCAAATACTGATTTAGGACAACTTTTAGTAAAGGAATTGAAAAAAAAAAACAGAAAAAACACTTGGTCTTATGGGCTAAATATTGTTTAAAATAAAGGGTATTTGATAAAATGTTTGAAAAGAGGAATTTTGTATTTAAAGTGGCAAAATATATGTGATAATTATATTATTGTTGATTAAATAATCTTGAAAGACATTTGTTCTTTGCAATGAAAGTTAAGGTAGAATTTAAAGGTTGTTGGGAGAGATATTTGAGTTGGTAATTCAAGAACTAAATTGCTATTTGGACATTCATTTGGGATATTTTAGGATGTTTGATGCCATACTAAGAAAGATAAAAGTGAAGGTTTGCTTTCTGTTATTTATCTAAGTTGCTTTGGATTAAATAGTTTGGACGGTAAAGCATGTTTGAGGAAGTGACAATGGTATTACTTGAATAATAGGAATTTAAGGATAAAGCATTGTTCCTAGAAGATTTGTTTGGAAGTAAGTTATACACTTGGGAGCTCTACATGTAAGTGGATAGCTTCCCAATTGATATTTCATTAAAATCTCCTTTATTCAAATATTACATTTTTATGCAAATTCTTTTTACGATAACGATGTGATTATGAGATATTTTATTGATTAAATTACTTTATTTCGTGAAATTATTTTATCAAAATTGATCATTTTAGTCAATCAGTAAATACAAGTTTGAATTTTAATTATGAGATTTCATTTTGGAAATTATTGAACTGTTACGAAAAAATGATTCATGCGAGTTCGACATTGAAAGGAAAATTTGATTGAATAGTGATCAATTTCTCGCATGTTTGAAAATGACTTTACAAAAGGGACTTTATACGAAACACTGGTTGCTAACGGTAGTTCCGTTAGCCCTTAGCGCGCCATGGTACACCTAGCTAGCAGGGTGCTTATAGGAAGTGCTAGCCCCGTGCGATGGCCAACACACGTGGAACGAAGGGATGGTTATTCGTGAGCATAGTACTCACGTTTGTTTCGTGGTTTCAAGCCACATTTGGTTAGCAATACCCTCGTGGACTGTGTGTCCACGTTTGTTTCGTGACTTCAGCCACGTTTGGTTATTTACCCTCGTGGATTGTGTGTCCACGTTTGTATTCGTGGCATCAGCCGCATTCAGTTATTTACTCTCGTGAACTGTGTGTTCACGTTTGTTTATTGTTCTGATAAGTCCCTAAAATTTTAAATTTGATTATTTGGTGATTTTATATTCCATTGATTTTTATTTAGTAAATTTTTACAAACATTAATTTCATTTATGTGCTTTCTTGAGATCAAGTGATAATAACATTTGTTATGGTAGTGCAATGGTTTAAGATTTTATTTAAAATTTTATAGAGCTATTTTATTTTGAAGTTTGTTAAATTTTTATAGAAATTGTTGTATATTTAAATTACATAATTATTTCAAACTTTCTTTTTCATTCATGTTTAATTGTTTATTATTGGGACGTTATTCACTGAAAAAAGTATTTTTGGTCTCAAATAATGTAAATGGCTTTGGACTTCTAGTTGATCATTGAGGGCCATCTTTTGACTTGAAGTGAAGAAGTTAATGACCACCCTCCTTTTGTTGTAAAGATTTAAATATAAAATTTTATTTTGTAAATTTTATTGTAGGAGCTCCACATAACTATAGTTAAAGCCCTTATATGTGTATTATGTTTGATTTGTTTGGTAGAAGGAGCATAGCTCCTTGTTGAATGCTATTTGTTACTAAAAGAAAATACTTATATAGAAATCTTGAAGTCTTATTTTGAGAATGGTCATGTTGAAATTTTAAAAATAAAATAAAATAAAATACAACCTTTTGTTTTTATTATTCATATTGAAAATAGTTCGACTTGTTGTTAGATATATTTATGGTTCAGAACTTAGGATTTCTTAACTTAAGGCTTTCGGAATATGAGTTTTATTCTTATATTTCATGCCGGTCATGCCTTATTTTCAGGGCGTGACACTCTGTAAGCAGACTTAACTGTGAAATTACCATGTGGGGTGAGATGCCACAACCAGGTAGGGTCAGGTTCCTCCTTATCGACACGAAAGCATCATTGATTTGTTGCAAAGTTGCGTCTGACAGCAAATGACTGAACAAATTCTAAGTCCATTGACCGTTCTCATTCCAAAAATCAGCAATTGGTCTTTGTAAATCATTTTTGTGAATTTTTGCATAGGAGAGGTTTTTAAGGGTCCAGAATCCCCAACCCAGAAGTCGTCCTAGAATTTTAACCTCTCTCCATTCCCTGGTTTTCACTTCACATGCATCATAGTGTTAGACCATTCACTGGCAATATTCCTACGGAGGTAGGACGATTTAGCTGTTTTTAGCTCAAATGGTGCCACTTGATTCAAACCATATATGCCTCTAAGAACACACGCACACAATAAGTTTGGTTCAGCAGCAATTTTGTATACCAGCTTACAAAGAAAAGCTTTATTTTGTCCTTCTAGATTGATAAGACCACAAGCACCATTGATTAATGGTTGACAAAGATCATTCCATTTCACCAAGTTAATACCCTTGTGATCATCAGAATAGCCCCAAATAAATTTTCTTACAAGCTTCTCAATAGCTTTACAGCAAGAAGAAAGACACAAAGCACACTGCATTGTATAGAATGGGATTGAAATAAGTACAGATTTGGCTAAGGCAATTCTCTCAGCAAGGGATAAGGTTTTGCTTTTCTAGCCTGCTAACTTATGATGCAGTCTATCCAGGAAGTGATTGTATGTTCTAGTGGTTACTCTTCCTGTAATCAAAGGCACTCCAAGATATCTACCAAGGGATTCAATACGGTTGAAACCCAACTTATTGCAAATAGCATTACGAGATGCATTATCAACATTTCTAAAGAAGCTGTGTTTTAGTTTCATTTACCACTTGTCCTGAAGAGAGACAAAACTGAGATATGATTTTCTGGATAGTTTCTATTTAAACATATGTAGTGTCCCCAGATAGAATCAAATCGTCTGCAAAGAAGAGATGTGAGAGGGCTATGCCTCTTTGACCTTGTTTGATTGTGCGCCAGGTTCCTTTCTTCACTTCCAAAGTAATGGCTTGTGAGAGACATTCCATACGAAGGATGAAAATATGAGGCGAGATTGGATCACTCTGCCTAATTCCTCTCATTGGTGAAAAGTTGGCAGAGGGTTTGCCATTCCAAATGACTTGCATTGAAGGCGTGGTGATACATACCATAATTAAATTCACTAGCAACTTCGGAATGCCAACATCTCTCCAATATCTTGGATAAAATCCCATCGTAGGTTGTCAAAAGCTTTTTCTAGATCCACTTTAACTACCATCCATCCACTCTTTCCTTTTTTTCCTTCTTCATTGAATGCATCACTTCTTAGGCTATTATTATATTGTCAACGAGGCTACGCCTTTGAATAAAACTTGTTTGAACAGGTAGAATAATATGTTGCATGATTGTACTTAGGTGATTAGCAATCACTTTAGTAATAATTTTGTATAGAATAGGGCAAAGACTAATCGGTCTAAATTCTTGTAGGTATTAAGGTCAACTAACCTTGGGAATTAAAGTTATAAGAATTCTATTCAGGGAAGAGCCTAAGGGTTTATCAACCCAAAATTCTTTGATATTCCTTCCAGTCTCATTTATAAGTCACATTTTAGAAGATCCATTTAGTCTCATTTATAAATTATGGTGAGACTTTTTAGGTAATAATTGAAAAATATTTTTAAAATTATCCTTCATAAGATAAAAAAATAACATGGCATTACTTTTTAGATTTATTATATAGAGACATATTTAAAATTTTATATACTTTTATTCTTTGTACTTTTTTTGCATTGATATTGATAAGATTAGTAAAAATAATTTGTAAAAGAGACTGGAGGAGTATAAGTGAAAATGCTCTCAACTAACACATCCCTCTGGTTTTAGAAGAATAGGGCATGTGGGCCATCAATCCCAAAGGCTTTAAAGGGTTTCATTTTAAAGAGGGCTTCTTTGACTTCTTCAATTGTAACCAATTTATTATCAAAGTATATATTCAAAATTGTATTCTCTCTTTTATGTATAATCTTTAATTTATTCATAAAAAAATGTAAAAAAAATTAAAAGGAAGTAATTAATAATATATAAAAAATAACTTATTAAAAAGGTTATTATTTTTTTAGACACTAGTAATTTTTATATATGGCCCAAGGAGTACGAAGAAACTATTATGAAGAAAAAGGAAACGCATTCCTATCAAGATCACATGTATAGCAAAGATCAAAGATTGACGATCTTTTGTCTCCCTAGCTAGTCGGGTGCGGGGTCTTCTAGAAACAGTGGCTAAAAAAATTCAATCTTTATTATGAATAACACGTGGAACGTAAACATCTTGTATCTCTCAAATATTCCATGGAGGGATACAGCGACGTCATTTCCTTTGCCTCACTTTTACATTAAAAACAAAAAATAAAAGAATTGACGTTAATGACCCTAACCCAACTCCAATATATATTATTGGTTGTTCTATCGCTCATCCTAAACCAGAACGCATTACCTTTAATTTGCTTTCTCAACCTACATTCATGGGTTCCAAAACACAAGCTTCTGTTCTCCTCCTCTTGCCCTTGTTGCTCCTCTCTCACTTCGGCTCTTCCCTGGCCTGCCCACTTGTCACCTACTGGGGCCAAAATGTGAATGGAGGAGAGTTGGACGACGCATGTGCAACCCACAAATACGAGATTATAAACATAGCATTCCTCAATGTCTTCGTCAATGGACAGACTCCAGACATCAACCTCTCAGGACATTGTTCTGCTTCCTGGGGTGTTCCTTGTACTAAATATGCCTCCCAAAGCCTTGGCGTCAAAATCTTCCTCTCTCTCGTAGGAGCCGCAGGGTCCTTTACCCTTGCTTCTGCTGAAGACGCTAATGATGTTGCAGCCTACATCTGGACCAACGTCCTAGGTGGCCAAACTGGTTCCGGCGGCCTCCTAGGAGACGTGGTCTTAGACGGCATTCACTTTGACATCGAAGGTGGTACGAACTTGTACTGGGATGTGCTTCTACAAGAGCTTTACGCATACAGTCAACAAAACAAGGTTTACTTAGCAGCAGCACCACAATGTCCGATCCCAGATTACTACTTAAACACTGCCATCAGCACGGGGCTGTTCGACTACATTTGGGTCCAGTTCTAAAACAACCCTCGCTGCGAATACTGATGATGGAGATACTCAGAAACTTGATAGATTCATGGAACCAGTGGACCACCAACTTCAATGCCACCAAGTTCTATGTCTGCCTCCCGACGTCTCTCGCTGCAAACGGTATTGCCGGGGGTTATATCCCGGTAGATGTGGTCAACAATGAGATTCTTCCGGTAGTAGAAACCTCTACCAAGCTTGGCGGGGTTATGTTGTGGAGTAGGTACGACTATGATAAAATATCTGGGTATAGTGATCAGATCGTTGGTAGTGCCCTTCGAGCTTCTAATGTTGTACCAAGGCCATTGGTTGCCATGATGAAATCTGCCTCGGAGATGTTGTATCGCCTATCATTGCACTTCTAGTGTGATTGCAACCTCTCTAATCAGTTAGTTGCAGGTAGGGCTGTACAAAAGTCTTCCAGTCCTGTCTGGTCCAGTCCAACTCGAGATGGTCTCAGTCTTGTTCGGTCTGTATATTCACTGGTCCTTCAGGACCAAAAAGACTAAAAAGACCAGACTATTATTTCGGGTTGGACTGGACAAGAGACTAGGCATCCGGACCACTTGGTCCAGTCCAGTCCTATTAATTTTTTATTATAATTATAATTAATTTATTTTTGACAAATGTTTAAAGTGTAATTGATGCTAAGGAGATGATTGTATAAAGATTTATTAAGTTTATTTCTAAATTGTTATTGTAATATAGTGTTGTTGAATTTTGTTGAGTACTGTTTTTGTTAAAGTTATAAATTTAAATAATTTAGACTATAACAGAAATATTTTTTTCTTATTGTTAGAAATTATTATGGATTTATTATTATTATAAGTGTTTTTACTATCTTAATTGAGTTTATTATGTTGGAATGGATTATTTTCTCTCATAGAATAAAAAAAAGGAAAAAAAGCTAAGTGAGTACTGGACTGACAGGACTAGTCTCCCAGTCCTATAGACCAAGTCCAGTCCTGTTAATTTTCGGGTTATCACTAGACAAGACTGGACTACGGGTTGCCTAACCCAGTCTTTTTCATGAAAGAGACCGGACTTCGGGTTAGGGTGAAGTCCAGTGCCGTCCTGTCTTTTGTGCAGCCCTAGTTGCAGGAAGGCTACGGGCTATTGCCTTGGATCTT